CAGAGTAAGAAGCCGTGGCTTGAGTTAACTTATGTAAACCATGCATTTGTTGTTTTTAAAATAAATGAACCTCCCTAAGTATGAACTTAGAATAGAAGCTTCAGGTATTCAGAGTTCGGTGCAGTATGATAAGTCACTTTCATACAGTCAGAGTGGTCTCATAATGGCCCCAGGAAAGAAAGGAGTTCGTTCTCAGTAGAGCTGTGAAGACCGGAATGAATGATCCCGTGAACATGTTGTAGAGGAGGCTCTAGCCCAGTGTGAGGGTGGGCCTAGTGGCCTGTAAGGTGATTCTGATCTCAGCAGTCTGACCATAACGTCCCTTCCTTTATCTTGGCCTGAGGATATCATCTATAAAATGAAGGGGAGTGGACCAAATAAAGCTCCTTCTAATGCTGGCATTCTATGATAGCTGCCAAAATCAAGTGAATGAAAATAATTCTACTTAGAAACATTGAAGGAAGACCTTGTAATTGACTGAAAAGTAAAAGGCACCTGAGGTGATGTAATGGGTGTGGGTACCTTCGGCTGCACAGTCTCTTCACATGAATCCGAATACAGGTTTCAGCCACAAGACTGGACCACTTTGCTTCCCAGATTAACCCCCTGGCTTTCTCCTTGAGAAGTGGAAGACCTCCAGATTGCTAATTAAGTGACAAGTTGGCTGCCTCGGTTCTGAAATCAGAAAATGATTGGGGTTGGGGTGGGGGGGAGAGAGATTAATTTTCTTTGGAATTGGAAAGGATTTAGGGACAGGCATATTAACAAAGATACATTATTAAAGCTCAATATTTACAAATCCCAAAGGAGCTTTGAGGGACTTAAGGATTTAATCTTTGACTTTTAAAATCAGCTTTTCATTGTCAGTCAAAATACCAGTGAGCATTAAAAAACTACAGGGAGCAATGAGATGGGCACTTACACATTGCTCGTCCAAGTACAAATTGATAATCTTTCTAGAAAGCAGTGTGGCACAGTATGTGAATATTCTTAGCATGTCACTTCTCATCAGCTGCTATAGATCTGATCTGAGCCCCATCACCTATTGACAGGAGTTTGCAGTATGCTTTTCTACCTTTCCCTTCTTATAGTCTGTTTTCAACACAGCAATCAGAATGACCGTTTTCAAACATAAGTCAGATCACGTAATTCTTCTGCTCAAAACCCCAGGATGACCTCTCATTTCACTCAGAGTAAAATTCAAAGTCCTCACAGTAGCCTGTAAGGTCCTACATGAACTGAACAGCCCTTTATCTCTGACTTCCTCTATTTCTTCTGTGCCCCTCACTTGTTCCACTTCAGCCGCACTGACCCCTTTGCTGTTCCTCAGATGTGTCCCATGTGCTGTGAATTGAGCATCTTTGCAATGACTGTTTCATTTGAAATGCTCTCTTTTCAGCCATATGCTTGGTTAGCTTTATTTCCTTCAAGTCTTTGTGAAAAATCTTACCTTCTTAATGTGTTTTATGCTGGTTACCCAATTTACTATTGCAATCCCCCCCTACACACACACACACACACACACACACACACACACACACACAC